GACCTTTCAGACTGTATCAAACATAGGCAAGAAACAATTCTGGTGGATTACCCTGATCCTAAAGAGCCCTCTGCTGAAGAAATAGCTGAAAGGATGGGAGTGCTGGAAGAAGAATCGGACCATTTGGGCTGGGAATGTCTGCCCACTGACCCTAGACCCCAAGAAGATAATTCTGTTACCTCGTGTGACCCAAAGCCAGAAACATGTTCCTGCTGTTTTCATGAAGAAGATGATCCTGTTGTCCTGGCAGAGAATGCTGGATTCAGTGCAGATAACTACAGCAATGAACAAGAGGAAACCACCAAAGAAGACCAGACCCAAGGCTTTAGAAGCGAAGAATCTGGCATCAGCACTGATAAAACATGGATAGGCGGCATGCTGAGGAAGCGTAACCTCCAGGGGTTAGAATGAACATGGCCAGTGTGATGAGGTATCCATTACTCTAGTCCCAAGGTGACCTTTTTCTCCTTTCTGATTTCATCCTTGGCCCTGTGCCCTGTACTTCCTTCTGTGTTCAAATATCAAAGCTATTGGGCCACTACCAGGGATATCACGTATCCTTCCTGGTGCTCATACACCTGTCACCTTGTAAAACATAGACATTACTGTGAATACAAGATAGCTTCACTCTCTCTTCCTGTCTTTCCCCCACCAAGAGGTTGATACATTGAGTAATTATATTTGGTCTGTCATAATCACAGATGGGACCACTCAGGTAAAGGTCTGATCTTCCTCCAAGGAGTAACAGATGGTTTACCTGTGAGCTAACATCACCTTACAGAGGATGAGGATTTAAGGCTGCAAGAGTGAAAATTTCAGACTCTAAAGTAACTTATTCTTTGAGGCTTGAAAAGGTTAGTTAGCTTCCTGGGGAGAAAATTGTTTGTGGGAATGATAGGTGCAGAGCAGGGCTAAGACCTGCTGGCTGAGCTGAAGCCTCTTTCTCTTGGTTAAGGTCTTTTTAGAAGCACTGATGAGGTGCAGATGTCCTCTTTTTTCCAGTGTAGTGAAAGACTCCCGCACACCTGAGGATGAGTCTACAGGGCTATCTGGAGATTGCTTTGCTCTGATAGCACCTGCATCTGTAGCTTCCTTTATCTTTGTTTTGCTTAACAGAACTGCCAAACCCGAAGCACCTGTGTACCTTGGGTCTTCAGTAGCCAGAGGAAGCTTTAAATAGACACTTCCATCCCTGCTCTGGAGGGCCATAGTTTGGAGAGGTGGAAGACGATGCCTTCTGATCCTGCTGTGAGGAGCTCAAGCCAAGTAGCCTGCAGTAGGGGAGAGAAGCTGTACACATGATAACTTAACTAGAAGTTGTTTGTAAATGTTGTGCTCTTTGGGAAATTTGTTCTCACAACCATATGAACTGAAGCAGAAATGATGGCTGAGCTTAGATACAAAATGGCACCACAATAGGTAATTATTGCTGTTTATTGCAGAGACAAACACTCGTGCCTGAGGAAAAGAGACCACATGTTCTATATTTTAGTATTTGGGCCTTTTGAGAAAGTTGGGAAAAATTAGGAAGTAAATTGGAACTGGGAGGATTTTGACCAAGCTAAAGCCCTTTGTATGCTATCATTTTTCATGTTTTCATGGGACAAGGTGGCATTTACAAAGTCTAACGTAAAGGATGAGCAGATTCACAGTTTACATGTTAAGAGCTGAGAGTTTAAAGAGGGTATGTTTCTAAGGACATTCCGTCATAAAATGGGGAAGACTCAAAAATTAAGAAATTACATAAAGGTAGATGTAGCTTTTAGATTCCACTATACAGAGTATGTGATGCCAGGAACGTAGCTAAAACTATACATATAAGTATATAAACTGTTGTCAGAAGGTGTTAAGGAAATCTTTCAGCTACTAAGAGGTGTTACTTGTTAATTGAAGTAAAGGGAAAAGTCATTGAGTCTGTAGAAAGCATATGCATTGCATCTATTTCTGGGGAACATTTGATTCATATTTTAAAGACTGCAGCTTAAAATGTACTGAATACAATACAGACGTAATGTTAACACTAAAAATGAAAAATGATATAAGTAATCTTTACTGTTTTGATAATTTTTTTACACGTGATTTCCTTTCATTCATCAGGAAGGGTTAAATTTATGAAGAGATCCTGGGTCTCTGGTTCAGATTTCTTTTTTTGCTTAGATATGATTCCCTTATTAGTGGTGAGTTCTCCTTTCCTTCCATTCATTCATTCATTCATTCATTCATCAGACAACAGCTCAGTGCTGGGTACTGGCAACAAGCTCAATTCCTACCTTTCAAAAACTCAAATTAATATGGGAGTCTGACATAAAATGAACTATGAACTACACAAAGGCTTTAGATTATGAATTCTGCAGGCGGAGAAAAACAGGTCATGTTCTTTCAGCATACTTCAGCTGTTAGCTCAACTCTTTAGGCAGTCTGAACCTTGATTTCACGTCTACATAAAGTTCAAATCTCAGGGACCTCAGCATTCAATGAAATAAGCTGTGCATCTTAACATCATTGCTTCTAACTCATGTTGTTAAGGGTAACTTTTACTGTATAATGATTTTTTTACTGTATAATGATTTATGCTGTAACTGAGGTATGGACTGAAAATTACAGGAGCATAAAAATTTTCACAAAAATATTTCCAAAAAATTTCACAGAGCAGGACCTTGTGGCAAGCCAAGAACATCTTAAAATGGACAAAGAGGACCTTTTTGTCAGGAAATAGTGTTGGCAAAAGTAGTGAAGTGTGAAAATTTATAAATGTTCAAGTGGTTTGATGAACATACAAAATTTTTACACAGTTCCTGCTGAAAATATGAAGCCCTTATGATGGCTCTTGCTGCCCTAAAGCTTGGTTGGTTTATGTATCAAGAATATATTTTATGCATTTATAGATAAGAGATTTTAATGCACGTTTTCTATAGGGTTTAGACAGTCTTTTTTTTTTTTTTTTTAATTTTCTAGAATTATTTCATCCTTCAGAAATAACAGTTTTAAGTGTAAATGCAGTCCAGGGTGACCAGAATCATACGGACTGGGTTTTGTTGCTCTGGTCTTCATTTCTCAGAACTCGAGGCTATGAGCCTGAGCAGTCCCCTAGCACTAGTGACTTCTCTAGGCACTGTGCCAGGACACACAGGTTACTTACCGCTGGGGCAGATGGCTGGTCTAAGGAGCAGCTGCAACACCTGGGACCTTGCTTGATAGAGCAGGTGGGTGACCAGCCAGGTCACAACAGGGGCACAAAGAAAGCATCTTACAAGCTCCAGAAGCTGGGTCTGCGGAGGTAGACTGAGGAGTGAAAAGGTATTTCACTTCTGGAAATAGTGGCCTGAGAGAACCACATTTCTTGCACCTCCTGTGAGTAAGGTAATCACTTAATTTTTGGTCCAAACTAAGACACTTTGGAAAAGGATCTTTAATAACTATGCCAAGATACTGGATATAAACAAGGACTAATCTGAACGTATAAGCTGTGGCCATTTAAGATTTTTCTTCAACCTGATAACTAAAAAAAGAAAAAATTCCTTCCTTTTTAGACTATCCTGCATATATTTTTTCCCACTGGGCAACAGAAGATAGGCCATAGTTCAGGCAGGAAACACCCTTGGTCATACCAAATTCTCAAATCTGGCCAGGTATGATGGTACATACCTGTAATCTTGGCTACTAAGGAGACTGTGACAGGAGGATTGCAAGTATGAGGCCAGTCTGGGAAGCTTAGCAAGATCCTGTGAACTAACAATATAGTCAGCTACTTGCATGCACAAGACCTTTAGTTCCGTCTCAGTACCACATTAAAACAAAACAAAAGCTCTCTGGAGGAATAAAGAAATCCACTTATCATACTGAAAAATTTTCTCTTCTGCCTAGATTATTTGTATTCAAAAATGAGAATTTAGTTTGTCATTTATTCAGCAGTATTATAAAAAACCTGAATGACACATCCGTGACTTTGCCGTGATCGTTAGACTTTTCTGAGATGTACTTCTTGCCATTTTTATACAAAGACCGACCAGTATCTACTTTTGAGTTATTCCTTAACTGCTCTGAGTACCAGTTTCCTTACTTATGAAATTAGGAATAAACTCATAGGACTGTTAGAATTAAACGATGTACTCTTTATAAATGTATATCCCTGGATGAAGCACATCATTGGCTTCGTCACTGTCCTCTAGTCCTGTGCTGCTGGGCTATTGCACTTGACATCGTCTAAGGCTAAGCTGTCAGACATGGCCAGGTCCATTCTGTAGTCACTGGTGGCCTTCAGATGTAATCTCTCCTTGCTCGGGATCACACTATTAGGTTTTTTGCACCTTGTTTGCAGCCAGATCTGCAGCGTCTTGTCTTCTTGGCTTCAAATGTGCTACAAGGCTAAAAAAAGGTTCCCATGCATGTAAGCGTTGTTTACATGGTCAGGGCTACAGGAGTCAAGTGGCTGGGTCCATGTTATATTTGTTTGTTGGTACTTTTTCAGCCCAAAACCCTGTTATGTTCTATGCTGTTTTGTTGTGGTGGTGGTTTGTTTTGTTTTGTCTTTTTGAGACAGGGTCTCTGTAGTTTAGGCTGCCCTTAAACTCACTTTGTAGCCCAGGCTGGCCTCAAATTTACATTGATCCTCCTGCTTTAGCCTCCTAAATGCTGGGATTATAGGCCTGCACCACCACACCTAGTCCCTGTTTTATTCTTAAAGGCTAAGCCCACTGAGATCCCTCAATTGGGACTGCTGAGCCTAAAGAGAACAGCTCTAATTTAAATATCTTTAAACACCACCATTTTCTCAGGGGATACCAGCCTGGGTGTGGCTTTGGTGGTCCTTACATTTGAAAGGCACAGCCAGAGGGCAGGCAGTGTTGACCTACATCACTAGTTTTAAACAAGTTGGGATCTCTCTGTTACTAATACCTACCTAACCATTTGAGGATCCTAGGAATGAACTGGGTAGAAAAGTGTTTAGGAAAGATATACGGTTTTCTCCTTTTATGGAGGGAAAAAAAAGGACACAGTACTGTTGAAACAATTCAAGTTTAATTTGTTGATACATGTCTGTACTTAGACAAACACTAAATTCTACAACATACATAATGTCAAGATGGGAAAATACCAAGTTTGTCATTGCACATACCAATAAATAAATACATACATTTGCTTCAGAATACCAAAATGTTTATTCAAAAAGTCACTTAATAAAAGCACAGTTTTGCAAGTTTGTCTAAAACTCCAGATAATTTTGAACAAAAATAAAATGTCTGACCACTCCAAAACTGGAAAAGACAATCTTGTGCAAATAGACATACACATTCTAGGCATTATGAAAACTGGCTAAATATGTGTTCCCAGCAAGAAAAGTGTTACCCATCCTGACCAAGTCCCCTCTGTCACCAAATGCAGGAATGAAAAGGCCAGATTTAGGCTTCCCCTTGTAAGCCATGCTGAACTGTTACATAGAAAACTGGACCTCAGCCTCATTTCCAGCTCTGCCTGGCCTTGATGGGAGAGAGTGGGATTGGAGAACAGAGGAGGAGAGGGGTGCATTGTCTTTCTTAAGAAAGAAAGAAGGCACAGTGATGAGCTTAAAAATGTAGTGATGAAAGCAAGAATTAACTTTCATTCACCGATTCCTACACCAAGCTTTGACAGCCCCTCTTCATTTTAGTTATTTCAGACCTAGGTATGCTCAGAATCACATATCTACTAAGTGCAGTACTTTGTGCAAGACAACTTGCCTCTCCACCTGATTAGAAAATGCAAAACCCAAATCTGTCCCAGTGCTTCTGCCTCTCTTGCATATCTTGAGATGACCGAAAATTGCTAACTAAAGGTTCAAAGGACAAGTGGTCCTAAGTTCAAAAACTGGAGGTACAAAGGACATGTGGCCGTAAGTTCAAACAAAAGCTTATCCCTTGGCCTCTTCAGGGGCTGCAACAGGCTGCAAACCAGGATCCAGAGCAGTCAGGCCCATCTCACAGGATTAGGCACCACCAGAAAGCATACTTATCCAGCTCTGGTGGCCACCTGCAATCCTGAGGTCCCACAAGAATGTTGCTGCCGGGGCAAGGAGTTACAAGCAGGAGATACCAGGTTTACCACAGAAAGGAACACTAGTACATCCATCCAGAAAATGGGATTTGTGCTTGCACAACAGAGCTATGGCCATTACTATCCTAATCTCTCCACTGCAGGCCCCAGCTGAGCAAAGCATGGCTCCTTTTCTTTCCAGTCACCTCTATTGCTTGTAAAGTTCAGGACTACTTCTAAATAAATGGTGTTTATTTACCATATAGCCAATGTCCTGTTTCCAGAAAGGAAAACCTGCATTTACAGTCTTGTAATCCTACTAGTTCACTGAAAGAGATGGTCTCTGAAGTTTTCCTATCCTGTCATTCATGTACTCCATTGGTCTAGGCTTTACCTGCTTCCCCTGAACTAGTGTCAAGATTTTTAAGGCACCATCACTAGAATATATTCAGATTCATCTAAAGGCATGCGTGTAACACACCAGTTTCTTCAGGTGATGCCAAGTGGGAACTGAAAGAAATTTCTTGGGTAGTCTCCTCCTACTCAGAACCTTGGGAGAAAGAGCTGCTAATTTACCAAATAGCCTTCCAGTTGAAAGAGCAGGAAATGAAGGGACCAAATCCACAGGTGCTCCTAACTACCTTCTTATTCCTTTCCTGTTCATCCTCAGAAATACAATCACAAGAAACTTCAGTTGATTGTTTATGGGTTGACCTTTCCCCCAGAAACACAGACAGACACACACACACACACACACTCACACACATACACACATGGACACAGAGCACCTTGGAGCCAGAAGGAAGGAAAAGCTAGACTTGGAAAGGAGTTAAGGAAGCCAGCTTCACCACTCTGCAGGGAACTGTTTTGGGTCAGAGGTGTAGAGTTTGGGGCATAGAGCCAGGAGCAATTGCAAGGGAGCTGCCTAACGTCCAGGTACCCAAATCCTAAGGGATTGCTTAGCTGTCATCAACTCACTGCAAGACCATCTGGGCAGAAGATGTGAAGGGCAAGAAGTCTTAATGTAGGAGAGCCTAAATCCAGGTAGTTTTCAGGCCCTGGCAGCTTTGTGAGTCCATGAACCTATGGCCATAGGGCCAGTGGTCAAGAAAAGGCAGCATCACCAGGAGTGGAGTCTAAGAGCTGACCTTGTGAGGCTGGTCTTAAGTAGGTGACTCAGCTGTCCTTGCTTGTCACTCATTGTCCAAAAGAGAGTTTTGTGCTGAAGGTACCCTTCTCACACTGCAGCTAGACGGCTCAGCCATGTTTCCTGACCCTATCAAAATAGCCAGCCAACTTTCCTGTATTAAAGCAGAGCGCCGAGGGCAGGAGTTTCCCATTGTGCTTCTGATTTTTCTACTCTGCCACTTCTCTCACTAGAGGGGCTTCTCTCACCAGAATCCAGAGTCGGCTTGTTCTGCCTTAAAATCACAGACCCAGACAAACAGCTGACCAGACTTTTAGAGACCATGTTGTCTCCATCATCTCTACTGTCAGCAGGTCTCCTCTTTTTTTAAAGTCAGGGAAGGAAGGACCACAGGATTACAGAAAGGATGGCACCACAGTGTTTCATCTGGAAAAGAGCCAGTCCCAGCACACGAAGTCCTTGTGCCCTCTAGAAACTAGACCATGTTAACAAGCGCATACTGGAGGCGCCTCTCTCAACAACTCAGGAATGGAAGATGCCACTAGAGCAGGGGTCTTGCTTTAAGCACCCAAGATAGGGAGATCTTGACTAGAAAGAAAAGAGACCATACTGCTTTCACTTAAGTCAAAATAAACCTGTTCACCAGTAGTGCCTCATTGACTTGTTTAAAGCATGTTTCATGTTAAAAAATATTTCTATGTAGCCTTTCAAGCTGACAATCCTAAGGCAAGGTCTAAATGCTATTTGCTGCCCGTAGGTTTTTGACTTCCACCTGGTAAAGAAGCCTCTACCAGGGTAAATGACAAACAAGCAGGAGCTTCAAGTTCCCACACCTGCAAGGCAGATGGTGACATCGAGAAGGAGCAGTGGCAGTGGAGGGAGCAATCAGGCCAGCACTGAAACAGGTGGGCTGCATGTCACCTGGACAGATGGGTGCACAGCCGCCTTGCTGAGGTCTGCCTCCGGTGTGCAGCCCTCATGGTTGGGCCAGACACAGCAATCCTTGTCAGACTGACGTACAAAAGAAACGCTGCTTCCAACAAGGAACTGTCCAATTCCCTACTGAAATGGTTTCAATCTTATACATCAACTCTGATGTTTTTACGTCTCTGGAATCTAGGTAAATTGCATGCAGAATGGGCCCCAGAAGGCCAAAGAGTAGGAGATACTAGTTTCTTGGTGGGTAGGGAGACAAAAAAAAAAAAAAAAAAAAAGTCAAGGGAACTTGAGGTTCTGAACTCTGCCATTAACAGACTGGGTAACCCAAGGCAAGTTCTATTCAGTGAAAGTGATATTGGTCCCTAAGGGTTCTACCACCTCTGATCTCTTGTGGTTCTAAAATACTCTGTGCTGTCCTCACCCTGTCCCATACCCTCAGAAGAACCACCACAGAAAGCAGCCCTCACCAATTACAATTTGGCCAAGAGCAGTGGGAGCTAAAAGACTGAAGAGCTCACAGGCTAAGTCTCCCCCAAAAGGAGAGTCTTCTTGGAGCATGCCATGGCTTGCAAATGGCACCCTGCCAGCAAGGGCTAATGACTTCAAACTCATCTGCTTACCAGGAGTTGTACTGCACTTCTCAGCAGAGGGCTGCTGGGCCAGTAGGAAGGGCTCCAGGACAACCCTGTTCCAGGAAGCCTAGTGATGCACCTCCTGCAGGCCCTAAGATACTTCGCTAAGATATTTGGCCATGAGAGCTGGGTTCCCAGTACCTCTAAGCACAGAGTAAGTTTGGAGAAGTACGTCAGCTAAACTCTAGGCAACCAGCTGATCCCCACAGCCACAGTCAGACCCTTGCCATCCCAGCAAGGTCCTGCCACTTATCTGCCCCCACCACTGTAACTTCCCTTGGGCCTGTCTGAGGCCTTCTGAAGTTGAAGGGGCCAGGCTAGGCCATCAGGTCCTTTGCTACATAAAGTTGGTGTGCTCTGTATGCATATTCATACTCTCTTCCTCTCTCTCTCTGTGTCCCTCTCCCTGTGCCCCAACCTGTGGGGGCACCTGTTCTCTTCTGACTCTTGGGATGAGTGAATGGCTGGGCCTTTGCAGCCCTGCTTGTGCTTCCTCTTCCTCTATACCTCTTCAGATCTTCCCAGCCAAGGAGGCCACCCAGCTTGGCATCCATGACTACAGCAGGGTACTAATCCAAGAGTGGGGGTGCGTGATGGTCTTGGGCCACAGAAGGAAGTACTCTTGTCCCTTCACACTCACCCACTAGTCCCTTGCCTCAGCATCAGAGGCAGAGGAGTCAGTTCTTGGCTGGCTTGGCCAGGTAGCCTGCTGAAGGCCAGAGCTTCATCTAGCAGAAGGCCTATGAACAGAGGGTAGGCAGGGCTGTCTCCACAGGCAGGCAGGCAGGCAAGCTCCACTCCAGGCTGGACAACCCCAAAGGGCGGGAGGAGACCTCTATTCACAGGCCAGTTTGCTGTCAAAGCTGGACAGTGCAATGGCAAAGGCCTGCAGTGCACACAGCGGGTAGTTGTAATCCATGGTGAACACATCCTCTGCTACCCGGCCAAACTGCATGACGATGTAGTCCGCTGGGGCCAGGCACAAGCATGGACAAAGAGAAATAAAAAGGGCAGAAATTGTGGAAAGAAGAAGGGCAAACAGACACCCATGCCACAAGAAGAAAGCAAAAGTAAGCAGAAATGCCAAGGAAATTCCAAACAGAATAAAGCCAAGGCCCAAATGGCAGGACAGAGGCAGCAGATGGCAAAGGAGAGAGATGCATACAAACACCAGGAGACAGGAGAAAAGAGGTCCGTTTAAAGGCTGTTCCGTGCCCGAGACTGCTGAACATACAGAATCTAGGACCAGGGCTCTTAAGACAGCTCTCCCTGGGCCTCCTGGTCATTGAAATTAGGGAAGGTTTTACATCTCATCTAAGTCACATAAAGGCCACCCACACACACAGTAAGCCACAGAGGCCACATCCTTACACTCTGGCTGGTACGGACCACTTGGGTGAGCTCAGCCCTAAACTAAGGGCCCAAGGTATCACACTACAGTATAAGGAAAGGCAGAAGCACTCACGGTCATTGCCATGGATGATCTGGAAGTTCTTCACGGAGGCCTGTGTGACACGCCCATGGAAGTTAAGTACGTAGGACTGTGTGTCGTCATTCCAGACAGGGGTCTTGTTTTGCAGCTCAATGATACTCTCCGTGTTCTTATTCTGCCACCGGGCTAGCAGTGTCTCATGTTCCTGGGAGGGCAGCCTCGCCTGAGCCAGGCCTAAGCCTGCGCATCATGACCACCCCGAAGAGGGATCTTTCCCAGGAATGAGGTTTGTCTGACCTCAGGGCTTTTCAAAATGTGTACTACACATGTACACACAGGCTGGAGTTCTGCCCTTGGAAGCTCATAGAGAGATGGGGAAGGATGGGAAAGGGGTGCAGACTCACGTTTCGAGGACGGATAGAGACTCTCTCATGAACCATGTTCATGCCAGGGACGATCACACTCATCTTCCGAGGCCCCTTGAAGCCCAAGACGTTTGTCTCCTAGGAGAGAGAACTCAGCATCAGCCGCCAGAAGATGGTACTTAACCTCCTAGAGAGCCCGGGGAGGGGAAATAAAGATGAGGAGTTAGTTTGTACCATCTCCACTCAAAAGTCTAAAAGACTTAGCTGTCCAGAGATGAGCTCCTAGATCTCTGCTCTCTCCCAACTAGCTCTTCTTACAGTCCAATTTGCTTCAGTTTAAAGAAACTCAATTCTCCCATTTGCTCAGTTTAGTCATACTTGACTCCTCTTTTTCTCACATTCCACTTCTAACACGACGACTTCTGTGGCTCTACCTTCGCATCACCCTAGAAATCGTCTCACCACGCTCACCAGCCATGACCTGGAATCCTGGTTTCTGTCCTTGGCCCCAGCCTGTCCTCATCATCTGTTCTCAACGTTTTCCTCCTCTGCTCAGAGCCCTCCAGTGGCTGCCACCTGAAGTTCGTACTCGTTTCTGTTTCTTCTTTTACATGATCTGACCCCAGTTCCCCAGTTCCTCCCTCCTGACTTTAGCCTGGTTGTGACCCAGGGACCTGTACCTGGGCCAGCTTTCACTTCCTGCTGATCTTCATTCAAGAGTTACCTCCCTGCCACACTTCCTAAAATATACAGTGGTGCCTCAGTTTACAAATTTAGTTTGATTTATGATTTGGGGGGCGATGGCTGCATTTGTGTTTGTGTGGGAAGATGGCCATGGTCCTGTTTGTCACCTGATGCAGAGTTTGTGAATGGAAGCAAAATTCTGCCAAATGTTTTATCTGCAAACCAAACAGAAGCATCCCTGAACTGAGGTGTTACTGTACCTTGATGTTTCCTGTTGTTTTCAATTTTTTCATCTTAGAATTTATTGGGAACTTATTTAACTTTCACACGGCTGTACAGCTTGCCTTTTATACCAGGGTTTTAAGTCCCTTCAGGGTATAAATATATCTGTTTATCAAACTCTGGTATGTAGTTACGCTTAGTAAATACTTGAGAAAAGATTCAGGCTGCTCTCCGAAACTGACCAGCAGATGGCACCATAGCATCATTCAAAATAGCTGTGGCGTGGGAGCAGCCTCCAACTCCAGATTGATGGGACATTTATCCCTTGTTTTAAAAAATTAACAGATCAGAGAGACAGAAATCCCCTGTATTTATATTCCAATTTGGTTGGTGTGATATTAGCAAGTAACCCAACCACGGAGCTTCAGCTTATCTATAAAGAAAATAGGATCTACCTGTTAGGTTGAGCATTTGTGAGAACCATACGAAGGGGCCTGTGAGCTGTGAGGGACCTGGCGTTCCAGAGGGGTGATCTTAGGATGGATAGGCCAGAACCAGGTCCCCTACCTCCTCCTGCCCAGGAAACTCCCAGGTTGGTCTCTATAGAGCTAGGAATGGTTCCCAGAACCACCCAAATAGATGGCCTGATGAAGTCCGAGCCGTGAAGACAGGAGGGCAGGACCAGGGCCGCTGTCCCAGGTAGAGACTGCCCTGCAGAGGACAGCCCCTCTCCACCTAGCCGAGACTACTTACCAAATAGATGGGCTGGCACATCAGGTGGCAACTCCTGGATTTCATGTCTAACTTAAGAGACAGGGGCCCAGGAATCCCAGACTTACATAGCACACGGCTGCCAGCTCCTGACGCAGGGTCCCACTTTCCAAAGTAGAAGACGATGCCTTCTGAGGGTTGACTCCATTGTCATAAACAGTGAACTTGGTGCCCATCAGGTTGGACCTGAAGGAAAGGAGCAATCAGTGTAGGGTCACGTGCCTTCTGCCTCAGGACAGAGACAGCTCACAGTCTGTCCTGAGAAGCCTGCAAAGCATTCTGGACTGGGCAAGCGGCAGACCTAGGGGCGCACTGCTCACTGCAGTGTACTTCATAGGCAGAAGGCTTGGACTTTCTCTGAGGTGATTCTCATTCCAATAAAAAAACTCAGGGAGCCATGTGAGGATTCTGCCCTCACATATGCTGCCCTCCAGGAGGTGCGCAAACAGAATAGCATGTAGGAAGCGAAGAGGGGCATGGATGGGTGCCCACTTTAGCTGTTCACTCTTTTCATTTATGACACAAAATCTGGCACTGTGCACCTCAGCAAACTCTATCTCCCCTGTTTGGTTTTGTTAATAGCCTGCCCACACCTCTGTCTCCTTGGATAGCCGAGATTCCTTTCCGTCCAGGGCTTATTCTCGGCCCTGGCCCTTGAAGCCCATCCCTAGTGGCCTGCATCATCAGTGAATCCTGGGTCTGTACCATCGCTCATGCTTGGGAGCAGCTTAGTCCAAGTCTGGCTGTAAGCTGGGCACAGACTGGGCCTGTAGTTGAATCTGATAGAGGATCCTGGCAGGAGATCCAAGCCTGGTCTAGATCTTCAGGACAGGAGCTGCCTTCTACAGAGATCCTGCCCTGCCCTTCCCTCCCATCGGCCTTCTTGGGGGAGTGCTGGTACCGCAGTTTCCCGATATAGCTGTCCCCTCCCCTAGACAGGTCCGTTGGGTCCACAGAGATGAGGTAATTGGAGGTTTTACTCTTCTTTCTCTTCCTTCCCGCCAGGAGGAACACCTTGGGGGTGGAGCAAGGTCACGTTTTAGGTCCAGGTTGATCCACACCCATTCACCAACACAAATGCCACTAATACCAATGACTCCCATGCTTCAACTCCCAAATGCACACATGCACACATGCATACATATGCTGGCAAACACAACACAGGACTGCAATGAGCAGGCACACTAGTATCATTTCTCTCTCAGGAACTGAAGGGTCAGTGTTGGATCCAAAGATTCCAGTCACATTCTGGTCCCTAGGCCAGTGATGACAAGCCTTTCCAAGCTTTCAATAACAAACAGTTTGCTGCAGCACAGGCGTGCCATAGGCTCACCACCCTGCTCTAAATCCTTGAGCCTGACTAGGTGAAAACACACACAGAAAGCAGCCTCACCTTCTTCCCATCCTCACGGTCCAAGTGCAGGAAATAGGTGGGGTACATGCCCCGATCCATCCCCTTCTTGTCCCGTGTGATTCGGCATTTGATGGTGATACCCTGGGGAGCTGGCCTGAGTGCAAATTCCTCAAGATCCTGGACCTCGACATCCACTGGTGGTTCTGGGGCTGCTGGGGTGGGGCCTGAGGCTGCCTCCTACCAGGAGGAAAAGTAAGAGCCTGAGCCCTATAAACCTTAAGGGTCAACCCTGGTGGTTTAGGATGTTAATCTGCCTTCTGCTGTGGGGGTGAGAGGACAGGGCAGGATCCTGGGATGTGGACTGCCCCATGCTGCTCTGGGATCGGATGCTATCTTCTCAGCCCTTCCCTCTCCTCAGCAGTCCTAGGCAGTGGAGGACAGGAATAGGATTATGTTCTCTCAAAGTGTCATCCTGCTCAATTCCAGCCCCACCCCCCAAACTCGCCAGCCCCCTGATCTGGCTGAAGAGATTAAGAGCCAGAGAAGCTGACAAGCACCTGAGTCCCACCTATTACCCTCACACCACCAGTTGCCATGCAACCTCCTGCTGTGGGCTAAGGCTCCTCACTCACCCTGGTGGACTTCCTGCTAGTGGCAGAGCTGGGCCGGGTGTTGCTGTTTAGCTGGGAGGAGCTGGAACTGTTCTCATCCTCATCCTCCTCTTCCTCATCAAAGCTCATGCTACTGGAGATGCCTGGAGCGAGCAGAGGAAGAGATGAGCAGGGAGGATCTACAACCCTCCCGCAATGTGTGGTCACATGCAGACAAACGTGCAGACACTGACTCACTTGCACCTGACACAGGCAGACACACAGCCACTTGTATGCACGTTCATGTTCACATACACACTTCCATGCATCCAGATACACACAAGCAACATGTTCTCTCAGGTGCACACATGAGCCGGGGCTGAGCGCAGTCCTCTGAGCACCCCCCCACCCAGTTTCAGCTCAGTCCCTGCATCTGCCCAGTCCTCACTGGTGACCACAATGCCTTCCTGTCAAGGTTTGCTGAGCTGAACCTGCACGGAGAACCTTATTTTCTACCGTTAACAAGCCATGACTCCACCAGAGAGAGGGCCTCACACCCAGTTCTGTGAGCAGGGCCCAGTGACTTGTTTCCCCAGCCTGCTCTGAGCCTGCATCTCTGCTGTCCTCCACTGTCTCCCCTTCCTGGAGCGCCACCCATTCTTGAGCTGTCTCCATGGCTTCTCCAGGAAGCTACCCTGGAGTAGATTCTCAGTGTGTGGCACTGCCAGGCTTCTCCCCTCTGCCACCTTCTACCAAAGGGTCCCTGGGGGAGGGCTCTTGCTGATGAGTCTGTCTGGCAGCAGCTTTCTCGGGAGGACTTGCTGTATCTCTGGCAGCCTGGCCCTGTTCCCCCTCATTCATCAGACAAATGAGTAGCTTTTTCTAAGAAGCAAAGGGGAAAGGAAATCTGCCCCCAAATCTGGGCCTCTTGGGGAAAGGCAGAGCTGGGCTATGGGCTAAGTGCCCCAGTTTATATTTCTTTCCCTTAACTTGACCTTTTCTGGGTCCCTGCCCAAGCCTCCCATTTATCTCTAAGTGTGCCCTCCCCCACAGCCAGGGAGGGTCTGCACCAGACACAGGAAGGCCAGGCTCTATCAGAAAAGTCTGCCTAAGGAACCTGGGATTGAGCTTTGGTCCCAGCTGGGCCCCCGTGGGGCTCACCCTTCCTCTGCATCGTGGCACGGAGGTCCTGCCCGCTGGGCTGTGCGCCCCCACCGGCTGCTGTCTCCCCTGTGTCTGTGTCCTGGTCGTGGTCCGACTGACCCACAGTCAGAATCTGCACTGGGCCTTGGGCCTCAGACTTGTCTTCTGCCAGTGCTGCCGGCCCGCCGGTGCCTGCAGGCCAGATACCCCTGAGTCACATCCAAGAGGGACAGGAGGTTCTCAGATGTCCGTGAAGAGGGTGAGGGATGAGTGGGAGAAAGACCCTCTACAAAACTTCATTTGCAAAACTGATTTTTAAAAACACTATTGACTGCTGTCAGCCTGTCAGTGATCAGTAAGCTGTGAAGGGATACCTATGGGCTGGGACTCATCTGCTCTTCCCCCAAATTAATTGTGAAGGGTTGATTTGAAATACCCTGCGTTCTTAAGACAGACAGCAGCCATCTACAAAACCAACTGCACAGGGGAAAACAAGAGAGAGAACAAGGATCTATCTGACCATAGCTGAGGTCAACAATCATTCATGGACATGGCCAGCTATGAGTTATTTTTAGTGCTGGACCCTCTCTCTCAGTCTCTCAGTCTCTCAGTCTCTCTCTCTCTCTGTCTCTCTTTCTCTCTCTCTCTCTCTCTCTCTCTCTCTCTCTCTCTCTCTCTCTCACACACACACACACACACACACACACACACGAACACACACACACTAACACGCACATCATCAAAGACATGGGGAGACCTCTGGAAGAAACACTGTGGATCTTCATCCCACATCAAATTCCCTGTGCAGTTGCTACCGCTCTACTGGGAGAAGCAAGGCTCAGCCCACACAGGTGGCAGCCACTCTACCTGGCTGAGCTAGGGCCTGTGTGCTATGAGCACCAGAAGCTCATGGACCTTGATACATCACTGTTCAACTACGACACAGTGGCTTGGAAATCACAGCCCATCAACAAGGCTTCAGGAAACAGGATATCTAGCCCAGACAGGACTTGATCCCTAGGGATCTTTGCTCTAGAAAGGAGCAGAGAGAACAGACCCATGACCCAGAGGGTGGGGCTGGGCCTGCAGCAGGGAGTCTAAGGAAGCCTACATGAGGAGGAAGTGTGGAGAATGCACAAGAGGATGGCTGCTGGGAGGCAGGAATCCCCTATCAAAGGAGTGTCCTGGCCAGAGGCCAGAATGGCGGGAGCTAAGGCTAGGCAGGGAAGGACATAAGGGTGGCCATACTCATGGGCAGCCCAGACACCCCAAGAGTCAGACAAGGCCCGTAGGCTAGCTGATAGGGGCCTGAATACCAGTTCAGTTAGCAAGATAGGCATCCCCAACCCCACAGTGGGGACTAGGCCTCCTCAGGGGGCAGCGTGTGAGAAGGCAAGCTAACCTTTGTGCTTCCCCTTCTTCTCCTTCCTAGAGGCCCCACTCTGGCCCCCTGATGCGGCTGCTGCCGTGGTCCTCTTGGCTGCGGCTGGTGCTGTTGGGCGGGCGGCTCCCAGCTGCACACTGGCCAGTGAGTTGGCCTCTTGAACTGCTCAGGAGAGAACCCAAAACAGGAAAATGGGCACTGGGTGAGGCCAGACTGCACCCCAGGGTCCCCAGCACAGTACTTCCCACCACTTCCCGCCACCTGTATCCCCAGCACATGTCCCTGTGTACCTCCTGAACCCCCTAATCCCCACTAGGCAAAGGTCCAGGGCAGGCTCTGCTGGGAGGCGGTGCCTCAGCTCCATGTGACAGAGTCAACACCAGGCCAAAGCCATGGTCAGCCATCAACCAATGCTCTGGGCTAGCAAACTGTTCTGAGTCCACGCAGGGGCAGGGCATGTCTGTGAGAATGTGGGTCACAGGAATGGAGGAGGAGGAGGACACAAAGACTGCACCTTCTTGAAGAGATCATGGCCAGGGTAAGCTCAGGGAGCCTGCATGGCCCTCGGGCATCGAGACTTGGAAGCACACAGAGGAAAGTCTCCAGGGTACATAGGGCCACACACATCCTTAGGAAAGACTCAGAAAGGTTGCAGCCGGAGGGCTCCACATTTGCCACATGGCATGACCCCAACCTGCTCACAAACATTGAAGGGCTTCTGATTGCTGTCATGGTAGAGACCAATACTCTGTCTGTTTGGCTTCTCCATCTTCCTTCCCCTGACAGAACCACACCACTGCCAGACCATCCAGAATTCCAGCCACACCGGCTCTTTCAGACCCTGTACGCACTGTACCCCGCCTTGCCACAGGGCCCTATCCTGGCTGTTCCCACTGCACATGCCATCATTCCCTGTTGTATAACTCTCACTCATCCTGCTGCTTCCAGGTGCAGGAAGCCATCCTGAGCTCTTTAGGCAGGCAGGTGCCCTGTCTGTGCCTCACGGAGTCTGTGACCATCTATCTCTAACAGCCTCCCTACCTGGACCATAAGGTCCATCAAAGCAGAGACCACACCTGTCTGTGTTCACCAGGGACCAATAGCTCCTTATCCAGAGTCTGACACAAGTGGGTCTTCAATACATCACAGGGAATGGACACATGTGTGCCATGAACGAGCACAGCAGCAGGTCAAAAACTTTCCTGGGATGAAGCCTTAGCTCCACCTTCCTCTTGGAATATCCCTGTATTTAACACCAAGAGCCAGCAGAGGGCACAGGAGAAGGCAGCTAAGGCCATGGGAGTGGTGGGGAAAGTCTCAGAAACTCCAGGTCCCAGGTCAGCATGGGGTGAGCAGCCTCCCCAGGGTTTTGTCAATTACTGGGAGACAGACAAAGACTGGGTCCCCAGAGAAGCGGCATGCACCTCACAAAGGTCAAATGTCCCTTGTGGGGAAGGACCTGGAGGCCAGCCTTGCTTTGGAGTCTCAGCAGGGAAGAGCAATCAGCTGAGTTTGCAGTTCCTTCAATTTTCAAAGCCTTAAGACAGATTTTTCCCTTACTTTATAGTGTAGAAAACAGATCCAGAGAGGATAAGTGACTTGTTCATAGTCCTAACAGAACAACTAAAGCAGAGTGGCAGGACCAGGAACTGTCTACTGCTGCAGCAGCTCACACTTTCAGAGGTGCTCTTTCTCTCTCAGCACAGCACAGCCTTCTCAGCACAGGCTCAGGCCCACAGCCAGTGCTCAAGCAACCAAACACCTCCACATAGTGACTCTTCAAGGTGTAGGCCTCCCATGCTGAGTGGCAGGGCCGCAAGTCCTGGAGACCAGGCTCCCACCCCAAAGGCATGTGCCAGCTTAGGCAGAGCTGGGGCACAGAGGGCACAGGACCAAGGACAGTGGTTGCCTTCCCTTCAGTGCCCCAGCCTTGGCATGGCTCCCCCAGAGGAGTGGAGAAAAGGCTGCCATGAAGAAGCTGCTACAGCAGCTAGGCTGAGGTCCCTGACCTCCTCCTGAAGGGCCTATCAAGTGGACTACAAATGTGTGAGCAAGGCCCATAGTGCCAATCTGAGGTACACAAGGAGGGATGATCTTGAAGAAGCTCTTGTCAGGGAGAGGAAGTGTAACATGATGGAAAGACCACTTGGGAGGCTGCTGAAACCCTCTAAGCCCACGCTTTATCAACCACGTGGCCAGTGAGTCAATGTGAGGAAGCAGGAACAATACAGGCAAAGCACCAAGTACATACTTCGCCCTGGCAAGGTCCAAAGACAGCCTTTTTATCAGAAATAAGGTGGGCTTCCTCAGAGAATCTGTGTGCACACAGAGGGCACCATGCTTACACAACATGCAAGCTACAATTTAGGCAGTAGGTGAAGGAGACCAAATTGCTGCCTCTAAAGCACAGACCAGGGTGTGGGTACATCAGGGGCTTGTCACAAGAACCTGAGACAGTGCAGGTCTGGGGGACAATGTCAGCAGTTCGATGTGGCTGGAGGATCCAGGTCAGAAGGAAGCCACAGAGGGAAGAAAGCACCAAAGCTGGTTCCCACCTACAAAAAACAGCTGAGAGCAACCTTCTCAGAGTTCCTATTGCATTTCATGGAAGAGCCTCCCGCATGATCAGCATCAGTCCAGCAGAGGGCAGTGGTGACTGCTTCACTCAAGCTTACAGACCAACCTGGCCTGGGGCCCTGACCCTAATCCAGGTAGGAGGGAGAGTCCTGTGCCCAGGGAAGTGAAGGGGCCATTCCCTCCCCAGGAGAAGTGGTGGAGAAGACAGATCTGCTAAGAACTGAGTGTGTGAGGACAGCAGTCGGAAGCTACAGGTCACTAGAGCTCTGAAAGAGTCCGGAGACAGGGGCAGGAATCTGTGGGTCATAAGATGGAGGACACAGAGGGCTCAGGGAAGGAGAAAGCAGGCAGGTGTCCCAGAAGATGCTGGCTGGTGTGGGTCAGGCTGCTGGCATGGATTCCTCTCAGGAGACAAGGCTGCTGGAGAGCAGATTCTTCTACTCCTAGGCGTTCCTCCTGCTCTCTGTTCCAATGCTCCACGTTAGAACCTTGGACCTTTGAACTCCCAAATTCATAGTTTTAGGCTTTGGCTTTAACAGCTTAATCAGAAGGTGAGAGCCTGAGCACTCCGCCTACCCACTCCAATGTCCACTCAGGCTGGACGACACACTCACCCAGACAAACCCTGACAGGACAAGACCCCACCTGCCCAGGTCAGCAGGAAATCCCTGGCGGGTCCCCAACAGCACAGTAGAGTGCGCAGCAACTCTGCAGGGGTCTCCCAGGCTGGCAGCCACGGGAAGGAGGCAGGGTGTACCTTGGTAGCTGGTGCTGCCACTGCTGCTGAGGTAGGACTCCACCAGAGGGGCCTGCTCCTCTGACTGCCGGGCCCGCCGGCTCCGGGGCCGCCCGTCGGCATTGGCCTGTACCATCAGGGGCTCCTGGCGCTTCTTCTTCTGCTTCTGTTCCAGCAGGGCCCGCTAAAGAGGCACAGAGGAGGGTGGGCTCTCAGGGCTGCAGAGATCACTCTGCTCCCTGCACCGGGTGGCAGCGGTGGCACTGGGATCTGGGGTCTGAAGCCCTCCCTGGGTCAAGGCATCCCAAGATTTAGGGTCCAGGGAGGAGTGATAAAACTCAGCCCAGGTGGCTGCCTTGGCAGGATCATAGCACAGACATCTAGCCCTCCAACTGCAGTCATGGCAGCTGCCCGCCTGACTGAAGCCCCATGCAGCGGGCAGGGTTAACAATGGCTGGTAAAGAAGAGAGCCCACCTCTCTTCTCCATTGTGAAAGGTCACTGGGCAAGAGGGACGGCCCTTTCCCCGTGTCCTCGGGGACCCCAGCCCAGACTGTCCCTTCAGCCAGCCCCAGCCTCACTCACCTGCCGGTCAAGCTTCTGCTGCCTCAGGTTGTTGCCCTCATCATCTAAGACACTGCAGAGGGAGAGAGTGGTACTCAGGGCGCATCCACAAGAGGGCAGGATACAGCCTGGAACCTGCCATACCCGTGGGTCTTTTACCTCCCTCCCATCACCACTCCCCGGTCTTGTGAACCCACGTGGTGGAGGAAGGAAAGACGGAGGCTGCCATCTAGGAACCTGTACAAGACAAAAGTCTTGAGCTGTATTTCTGCAACACTGGGATTTTGTTTCCTGCTAGTACCCACTGCCACAAGGACTTCATAGGCAGACTGGCCCCTTAAGAACAGAACGAGACACCCCTATTCCCAAACCTCTGAACTGGATCAGGCTTAAATGAGATTTGGAAGAACCTATAGAGAGGCATCAGCCACAAGCCAGGCTCAAGGTCTGTTTCTCAACCCAGGGCCTGCTTCACCAGATTTCCTCTTCTCCTCTCCGCCCTATGTGGAAGAGGCTGGGTCCTTTGGGGGCAGACCCTGTTCCCTTCCCAAACTCCTGGCTCCCTAGTATGCAGAGTGGAGGTGTGATGCCATTGGCCTCCCTTTCTCCCTTAAAGAGGGCAGTGGATCCCCTTCATGTGGGAAAATGAAGCTAAGAAACCAAACAGTGCCAGAGAAGGACTGGGGCTGGACGAGATGTCCACAACGTAGACACAACAGATCAGTGCACAGCACAGCAATCAGCCACCAAACTCTTCCTGGACCACAGACGTGGTACAAGCAGCACGGGGTATAGCAAATTGTTGAAACAGCCTCATCTCTCCCAGGCTGCACTGTCTCCAAGGAAGAGCATGCATAGGGCGATAGTAACTCAAACCACTTAGCTTTCTTGCTAGCTCAAGACACCCCGGGGTCAAATTTAATTAAAAAAAAAAAAAACAAACAAGATCTGAACAGCTGAATGGGATGGGGATGGAACCTGCAAACCTGAGCACTAGGAGCCCCAGGCAGCTCTGGCACAAGCATATTGAATCCAGCTCCTATACCAGACCCAAATGTGGGTACCTGTTCAGCCAGACCCAAGCACATCAGGATTGTATGGAGCTATAAGGAGTGTGTTGCTATATCTCATGTGTATGTGCATATGCACGCACCCACTTATGTAAAAATTGGGCATTCTTGCACGAAGGTGGATACAGTCTGTGTAGAAGGCAAAAGATAAGGATGAAACATCTTTTTAACTGGCTGCTGTCTCCTCACTTACATCTGGGGTGGCCTTTCCTGGTGTCCGTGGCTGCTCTGCACTTTTGAAGAGCCTCGAGTGTGCTGTGAGGCTGTGCACAAAATTGCCTCATTCACCACACCCTCAGCTGCCAGCAGATCATAGGAGAAAACGCCATTCGCCAGACATGCCTCTAGGCCCAAGTCTTCTTCAAACAGCCTGCTTGCCTAAGAGGACACGGCCAGGACCTGAGGACCAAACCACTCCCTAAATATTTGAGCTGGCTGATACATTATGGAAAGCTCATCCCACAGAGGGCAGAGGGAAAAGCTGAGGGCCCACAATGAACAAGACTCCTGTGAGTCCTGCCAGCTGTGGGAAGCTTGCAGCTCTCCACCGTCTATACCTCACGTCAGCGGCATGGCTGAGTGACCCAAAAGCAGAGTGTGCACAGACTGCTGTGGTTTAGAGCTGACACATCCCCCAAGTCTCCTATGTTTAGAAGGTGCTTGGAGGGGCACATACTTGCTATCGAGGGCATGCCTGGTTAAAGGTGGGTCACTGAGATGGGAGCTGAGAGAGTGTTCCTGTCCCCAGCTCCTTCCTTCCTCTCTGCTGGCCTGGTGCCAGGACATGAGCCTGCAGCTGCCTAGTATCAGTAGCACAACTGGGACTGACAACTACCCCTCTATCCACCTGAATTTGGGCAACAATCCAGGCCCAGTCCTCCTTCCACTGTCCTAAGAGTAGCAGAAATAAAAATAACACAGACCCAGGAAATCTTCATAAAGCTTTATTCCAGAGCACATGAACAGTATATGACCTTCAGTGAGCTTTTCTCCCGCTCAAACCTCCTTAAATCTTTACACATAAGGACTATATCTCCTGCATGTGATTAAAACAGTGAACTCTGGGAGATCGTGCATGCTGGGAGCCCCTGACATGATTCAGCACCCTGTCAATCATGTCTGTCACTTATCCAGAGTCCACTGAGAGGTACCTGGGGTCAGGGACACATCTTTTAAAATTTGAAAGCCTGATTCTTCATCTTTTTTTCCCCCTATTTTCTTGCTTTCCCAGCACAACTATTTTTGCTACTTTTTTTATTTCTCTTGGCATGGACTTGCCCTGAGCACACCTTCCCATTATTTTCAATATATATAGCTGCTTTTTCTTTTACCATTGGGTGTACACTTGTAATTATTTGCTCACTATATACAAGAATCTAGAATCTATTTCTTGGACATACCATGCAGTATCATTTCCACCATACTATTTTTACCTGGAAGCCAGCATACTATGGAACAAACCCACTGAAACTGTGAGCCAAAATAAAACTCTCCTCCATTAAGATGAAAGTATCAGGTATTTTGTTCCAGTGACCAGAAAGACATCTCAGAGGTACCTACCACCTCACTCACCACCCAGGGTGAGTTCCAGTACCCAGAAGGAAGGGAGTGTGCATGGCAAGGGTAGCAGATGCCAGATGCGGCATGTGCCTGGCTGAGAAGACCATCTAGGAGAGCGTACAATAAATCCACCAACACCAGGAGGCTCAGAGAGTGGGTGTGACACATGGGTAAAACTGGGTTCCTGGAAAAGCACAGGTTTCTAGGGAAACTGCAAGGGCACCAGGCAGACCACAGCCATCTGGAAGTGACGAGCTTGTACTAGGACAGTGTTCCTGGCTAAGGACAATGCATCCAAGCACACAACATCTCTCCTGAGTGAATAACAAAGAATCCCCAGCACACAGCAGCATGTGGTGGAGAACAATGACAACAATGATGGTTGTCCCCAGGGAGAGAGCAGAACTGGAGCTCCTCTCTCGTGCTCAGCAGGCCCAGCTCTGACCCCATCCAGCTGGCCCCGCCTCCTCATCCCCACTGTAGCACCATTCCTGGGGTGTGTGTCTTTCTCACCAACACCTCCCAGTCTTTCTGATGGGTACCGTTCTAGATTATACTACACAATAACCATGCAAGCAAACAGTAATGGCTTTTTAATGACTCTGGTGCCAATTATGGAATCACTGCCAAACCCAGGCTGCCAGCTGCAGCCCCGCCAAGACTCAGACAGACAGGATTCTGATGGATGGGTCTTCTAGCTGACCCTGGCAGCTCCTTCATTATGGTCACCTCCTGCTGGGGGCCAGACCAAGGAGACCTGGTACAGCACCTGCCACTGGCTCTGGCCTGCAGTTTCCACCAATCTACCTGTTCTGCCCAGGGCTAACAAGGTCACAACTTTACCTCTCAGGGAATCAACCCTTCTGCTTCCACTTGCTCCCACAGACGCCTAGGAAGTAAAACCATCACTGACACCAAGGGATCAAAGCATGGGGAGGAAATTACTTTTCCTGTAAACCAGAAAATCCACACATCACCACCAAGTTTAAGAAGATTGTTTCCATCCTTTTCTTTTCACACTACACCTTCAAAGCTCCAGCTAACCCACTAGAACTAACTAGAAGCCTGGGGGCCAGGACAACCCAGGGACAGACTCAACTATCTGGATACTCTCCATACCCATTTTTCTCTCTCTTCTTGTCCTCATTCTTCCGTCCAGAAAGAATTATAAAACTTACCCCTGCTGGACCCAGGAATCGGATAAGTAGCTGTCAGGGGAGGCCAGGCCACCCAGAGTGACTGGCTGCAACTCTGCCTTATGCCAGACTCCAGCAAGTCCGCATCTGTGGCTCCCCATTGCCTAGCAACTGCATGGCATGTAGTGGGAATGGGGCAGCTCCAGAAAGGAGAGGACCATGCTGCTCACAGGAGTTCCAGTCTCCAGGGCTGGGGCCAGCTGCATTCCAGCTGGTGGTTCACAGTTGCACAGGTGCACAGAAACCTCACTCTGGAGGTTAGCTGGCCCTGCTGTGGTAATTCAGAAGTGCACAGGCACATGCCCCAGAATCAACCTACTTGAAGCTCTCTTTTTAAAAGCAAGTGCTAAATGTGATGCTAGTGCTTAGTCATGCAAATGAAAATCAAGAGCCATGGCTGGCTAATTGAGGAGTTATTAGCAATGGCCAGAAATGAAGCGATGGGCCCATACCGCAGGGTACCTGTGAGGCTAAACCTAGCAGCAGAATGAAATAGTTGAGATTCCTGCTCAATCAGTAATCAGTCATACTGCTTCCCCGAAAGCAAAGGGCCAAGAGAAAAAGGAACCCAGAGCCATGCTTAGGTGCAGCCCACAGAAAAACTTTCTACAGTCACAGCCAGCTGGTGGAAGCATTTGGCAGGGATGTCACAGGGAGCACTCACCCAGAGTGCACTCTAGGCTCAGAGTCTCCTTCTATGACTTAGAGCTATGCCTTGCAATCAGGGGTTCAGGAAGCCTCACTACAGCGGGAGGGCCCTCATGTGTGCTGAGAGCCCAGATGCAGGACTAGGAAAGCCGGGGAAGCCCTAAAGCAGTGATGGTGAACCTTTTGGAACTTTTAGTGATACAAACAGCCCATCAAAGGTTCACCACCACTGCCCTAAAGGTTGCCCAAGAATAACTACTTTGATTCATAGGAGTGAGCATCTCATCTGTACTGGGAGATGCTGGAGACACAGCCAAGAACCATATAAGGTCCATGCTCTCAAGAAGTTCATGACTTAGTGAGGGAAACAACAGCCACTGGCCTCAGAGAACGCAGACAAGGGCACTGAGGATGGCTGGTCATCACTTGTACTCAGCATGGTCCTACAACACACCTGGGCCCAAAGTCCCTCCTGCTGCTCAGACTCAACCCCCACAACCACAGCTTTAAAAAGGTCATAAAGTTGTACATCATGGATATTTAATATTCCTCAGGAATACTGGCAGAAATGATAATTGTTGGTGATAACAGAAAAAAATAGGCAGAACACTATTACAACTGTTTGACTTTATAAACAAAATGGCTCCCTTTTAAATCAGAATGCGAGAGTAATGCACAATCATTACAAACTCAGGCAAAATTACTCATAAGAAGATTATCACCACCTATCACTGCTTTGAAGAAAATGAACTGGGCCCAGGGGATGCAAGACACGACTATCACAGAAGGAGAGAAATGCTGTTAGCAGAGCTAACAAGTCAGCTGACCCCTCTTCAAGGCAAACACCGCATCCCAATTCTGATGCTCTGTGAAGTTAGGGAAACCTTGTGCCAGTGAAAGTACGTGCACATATGCTGCCCCAAACCCCTAGGATGCACATTAAATGTCTTGTCTGTGTTTTGCTCCAGTTATTTCTGTGACTATAGGCTTGCCTGCAACCAGCAACCCAGTTATTACAAGAGGCAGTTTGTACCTGCTTCTCTCAGGTCAGGTGTCACATTTTGGAAGTATGCTCCCTCCGCCCAACCTTTCGTAGGTTCAGTACACACCCAGAAAGACGCAGCAGGAAAGAAGGGTCCTGGCAACTTCTGACAACAGTCCACCCTAGCTGGAACCCACCCTTCCTAGTTGAGAACAAGAAGACAGAGTGATAGAGGAGTACAAAAAGCAAGTAGGGCAGGGCCACAAAGGTGCCCACCTGCTCCTCCAGGCTACACTTCCAGAGGGGCAGGATTCTGTGCTCCTGGCTGAATGTGGCACGGAGAAGAGGTGTGGAGAGTTGGGCCTGGGCTGGATCAGACACTAATCGCTTCTTGCAGGACACCAGTGTCCTGCAGGACAGTCATTTCCCAGAAAAGACCCTACCTCACTAGGATATCCTTTCTCAGGAATGGGCTTAAGCCTAGGACCCCAGCACTCACTTGACAAGCTGCTTTAGTCCATGGGGGCCATGTCCTAGGCTGGCCAAGCCTGTAGTCTGCTAGATCCTTAAATGTAACATCACCCCCAGAGCCATAAGTATGACCCCTCCCATCTTCCTCAGCCTCAGCCACCACCCTGTATCTGAAGCCCCTTCATACAGGTATTTCCCTGGAGTTTGCTCAGTTCACAGGTATGGCCCAGGCACCTCTGATGAGCCTAGAAAGGATACGTGATATTTCTGGGAGCCACACTATCTTCTAGAAGACAAGCCAAGAAATTCCAGGATGCTTCAGAAACTACTTGTGCAACTAACCTGGATGTCCTGTCTAGGGTACATGGCCTTGAGTCAGCACAGCCCTAGTCCCCAGTTCCCAGTGGGAATAGCTCTCTGATCTATTTAAGACCAGTGTGAATGTGTATGTCTGCAGGAGATCCTGTGTGTGACACATATACACACATACGTGTACGAGTGTGTGGGGGGGGCTCAAAATAACTTAGGATCCTGAAGTTCCTATAAAAATTAGGAGCCACAAGAATTCAAGACAAACCCTGAAATTTCCAGGCTAATGACAGCTTCCTGTTTGCAGAAAGATGTGCTCTTAACGATCCATGAGCAGTTTCAGCTGGTTTTATTTGGGATGCTGTCTGGACAGACTCATGGACAAGCTCTATGAAAACTTTCAGTTAGTGACTGGGATTGGGCTCCTTCCCCGGAGCAGACAGTGTTGTTACAGGATAGGTCTGCCAGGCTAAGTCCTGCCACCCACAGGCATATGCACCTGGGTCATCAATAAAAAGTCCTTAGCAGTCCAGCACCCTTTTTACCCACATGCCTCTCCAGGAGGCCTAGAGACAGCCCTGTAGCCTATAGCAACCAAAGAGCCAATGGGTGGCCGAGGATCTGGCGCTGCCATGGCAATGAGCTCCGTCCTTAATAGAGATTGGAGTAGAATGGTTGTCCGGGAAAGCCTGTACCTGTGTGAGGCCCACAGCCCACCCAGCCTTCTGCCATACAACTGGAAAAGCCCGCCAGCGTTGGATCGGACCACTGTATCTGGGAACAGAGGAAGGTGGGCTTCCCTGAGTGTGTCTGAGTTACTGAGTACTTTTGAACACAAGAGAGCAGTTCTATGTATTGTGCATCCAGGTAGAGACCTGGTAGGAAGCTGATTACCGAGTCTGAAAGATAGTCAGTAGTACTTGCGAGTGTCTAGTAGGTATCAATAACTTCCAGAGGCAGGATGTGTATGTGCACACATACTGTATGTAGGCATGTACCTGCGTAAGCAGAAGAACTGATGTATTTCCATAGCTGAGATCTGTGCTCCTCTCGCTAACCGCACCAGACGGCGCCCACCCTCGGCGAATACCTACACACAGTATAGATGCACCTGTGTAAGCCGAAGATTTGATGTCTATAGAAATATATGAGTGCTTGTGTATATGAATGGCCATGTGGTCTGGGTTCAGAATGAGCTGTCCTCAAGAATCCACGCTCTGAGAATGTGAACTGGCCAGCAGGGGCATCTTTGGCCCAACGCGAGGACATGCTGTGGGTGCAAGTGTGCAGATGTATGGCTGTGCGTGCGCAAGCTATAAAGGCGAACGGCTCGGGTGCTAGGCCTAGGAGGGGCAATTTGCGCCCCTCCTGTAGGCAGCCATAAAGCCGTTGCCAGCAATCCAGGCAGACATGGAGGTGGAGCTGGTTTGGGGTCCCAAAGTTGGGGTAGGAAAGACCAGCGTTTCCAACTCACTCCCCCAGTGTCGGAAAAGATGGGGAGGGTAGAGGTGCCCTCCCACCAGCCGGCCCTAACTCCCGAGTTTGGGGTCTGTGGTGACCCGCCCAGGCTCACAGAGGTGGGGGTGGGGTCTGCCCGCGCCCCTAGAGGGGATGGCGGGCCGGCGCCGTACCTGTAGGGAATCCAGTCGGAATGCGGTCTGGAAGTCATGTCTCCCGAGGGTGGGGTGGCGGCTGCGGCTCCGGAGGTCAGGGCCGGTGGGGGCCGGCGCGAGGGCCCTGCTCAGCTCCTGGGCCGCCCCGGGCCGCATCCTCCCGGGCCGGGGCGCTGGGCCCCGCCGAGGCCCGAGCTAACGCCAGGGTCCCAGCCTGAGCGGCCGCCTGCGCGGCGCGGTGGGCGGGCGAAGCGGCGGGAGCGCGCGGGGCGGCCGCGGGCGGGAGCGCGCGCCAGAGCGGGAGAGGCCGCCGCCCCGCCCAGCCCGGCGCCCCCTTTGCAGCCCGAGCCCGAGCCCTGCGCGGCAGCCGCGACCACCCGCCTCCACGGCCCCGCCTCGCGGAGACCCCGCCCTCCCCGGGAAGGGCGGGGACCCGCGAACCGCGCCAGCCGGCGCCCACCCTGAGCGAATAAGGCGCTGCCACTCAGAGCGGGTCCCCGAGCTTCAGGGCCTTGGTTTCTCCCGTGGTGGAGCAGGGATTGTTCCGATACTACCCATCTCTGCTGAGCAAAGGGAAATCGCTGCCCAGATTGAGCGGGGCGGGGGCGGGGCAGGGCCGGGGGCTCGGGCGGTGCAAGAACAGGTGCATGGGAGCTCCAGGCATCGGCCCACCGGCAGGTTTCACATGTCTGCTGTGGCTTTAGTAAAGGAAATTCTCATTGGGGTCCTTCTTATCTTGGGCTCAGCAGTCCAGTTGGGGAGGGGTCACAATTGCAGTCTATTGCATTTCCGGCCCTTTTTAAATTTTAGTGTCTAATCGGCATAACAGCCTGAGAAACAACTGTATCGTCCATATTCCCAGAGAATGAAGTCTCTAGGATGCTCCCGTCTAGAGACACGAAGCTAGGAAGTGAAGGATCTGAAACAGAATTAGGACCTCTGTCCTCCAAAGGCCCTTTCCAGGAGTCATGAGAGGCAAAAACAATTCCACAAGCATCGTCCTAATGTCCACAGGCTGACAAGGTCCTGGCTGTGACCAGGACCCATTCTAACGCCAGCAGGGCAGCTCAGAGAAGGGTGGAGGAGGGTGCACAACAGGGCTGGGGAAGCATCCCTGGGCTTGGATGGGAGAGGGCTCTGCTGAGGAGGAGCACAGTCCCCACACAGCACATGGATGTCCTCATGCGCACCCTGGAATCAGCAGCACCACACAGCACGAGTGGGCGAGAGACTGGGGCAATGGCCAGCAAAGGCTGAGGGAGGACCCTTCACCTCCACCCCAGGATTCTCCCAGTTTCTCAGCCTTGCTTTATCTGGCCCATTAAATATAAAACGCAATATTCAAGATATTTGGAGCTTTGGCTGGATGTCAGGAGCTGGGGTCATGTTAGGTGCTGTCTGCATACTGTAATTATTTTACTCTTCACAACACTTAAGAGGTAGGCAGTGTTATACCCATTTTACAGCAAAGGAAACAGAGGCCAAGAAAAATCTTGGATCTTGCACAAAGTCTTACAGCTGGTCCATGGTGAAGTTAGTATTCACCCATAAATATCTGGATCCACAGACGTTATCCTCAGCTCCTTCCTGCCTATCACAGTGCATGTAGTACCCACATGCAGGCTCCTTTCAAGTTTCTGGAGCACAAGGCAGGTCTGAACCATCTCTATCTGGCACAGCATCAATGCTATCTCAATGCTGTTATCTCTGATTATCAGACTCTAAGAGCGATCACTGTTGCTGGAGACAAAGAACAGACGAGTCACTTGGGAGTATTTACAGTGCAGAAAACAGGGCTGTTTTCACCTATCGGCCTCACAGAAAAGGCTGGGCCTTGCCTTGGAGGCCATGAGCAGCAGCAAAGCCCCTTCCCTGGGGCTCTCTGTCCTTGAAGATAGAACCCTGACCAAAGCAAAACGCTGGGGGCTTTGAGCCTAGGAGGCCCTCCCCTCTAGGCCACCAGCAACTATCTCTTCAGAGATGATTACAGACCAGATGACTTTCCCTTCAAAAACCTGAGGCTGTTTCTCTCCCTTTATTCTCAAATTATCTGACACCTTAAAGCAGTCAGAATTAAGTTGGAAGGTCTCAGGAGCCTGGAGTAATTGAATCTATTAAATAGATACTTTAGGTTCTGTCCTAAGGGAGCAAAATCTGGAGGCAGATTGAGGTGCACAAATAAGGCAGTTCTTCATGCCCCTTCCTACAGAGGCTGCATGTGTTCACCCAGGACATGGGGAAGCCAAGGGTCTGTGTGACAGTGCACAAATATGTGTGTATGTGAGGTCTATGAGTGCGTGCACACAGTGGGTGGGGGAGCCAGGGAGCCCATGTGACAGTGTGTGGGACACACTGTGTGTGGGAGAGGTGGTCCTGTAGCTGGAACAGGTCTACACAAGAACATTGCTGGATCTGTGTTAATGCATGTGGTACACAGAGAAGATGTCGGTGCTGTAAGGGCTTATGAGTATTCACACTCAACTCAGAGCTTGTAAGAAATTTTTCCATCCACAAGCATCCCTGGTTGACATCTGATGTTTATGCCCTTGAGTTCATCACGAAGTCACTCCAGGAAGGCACATGAAGAATGTTGAACTGGGCCATGGAAAAATTTGGTTTTTATACAACTCCGCTATATATTCTTGAGGAAGGGCCTAAAAATTTTTCTAACACAACCCCAGGAACAAGGTCATCTCTTGTTTCCACACAGCAATCCCAACATGCCTTCCACCTGTCCAAATCCTATAAGAATGAAATATCTGCCATGAATTTAAATTCTCCTCATTGTATTTCAGGCATTTTCAAACACAGTGATGGTTTATGATGGGGAGAAAAGCAAAGCTCTACATCTGAACTGGAGTTCAGGGCCAGCCTCTTGGCAGAACCAGCTCACCCAGGGAAGGAGGTTGGCATTGTGGAACTTATCCCTTCCATTTGGAGTCGTACATTTTCTGTTACTTAATGTAATAGTTTTACTGAGTGAAGGCCACCTCTTGTGCACTTTGGAGGCAAAGAGATGTGAATAATAAATAAATACCCATTCTGACTAGGCCTTGCTTCGTGGCTTGGCATCCCTGACCTTGAAGTCAGAGGAAGGCAATTCAAATCAACCAAACATCTTCTTTACTCAAAGGCTGAGACAGGTCTGCCGTGGCTTTGGCAGGGATCAGGTACAAGGCTGCCACCAGGGAGCTTTCAGTCTGGCTATAGAGGTGGGAGAGATAATGAGTGTATGAGTATCAAGGTGTTGGTGTTACAGTCCAGGTGTACAGAGTGCTGGAGTTTGGGGTATAGAGGAGGGACAGTCAGTGGTATTGGGAAAAGGAAGGTCTAGTTACTGCAGGTTTTTCTGAAAATGGAAAAGAAGGACCATCGAGCTGGGCCTTGAAGGATAAAAATGATTCTGATAGGCTGGTAAAGGAAGGGGAAATTTCACTATCAGCAAGATACTATAATTGGCTAGGCACATGCTCACTTCAGTGAGCATGATATGGGCAAAGTCATGGAGACAAGAGAGTACTTCATTAATGCATTTAAAAACCAAGGCATGAACCAGCAGGGTGGCTTGAGGGTGAGTGATTTGTGGGCTAGCGATGGCCTCTATCTAGCTCAGGTAGGGTCACATATGTCACCCAGCACACCAGGTTAAGAAGTTTGGATTTTATCCTATAAATAATGCAGAGTCACTACAGGATAGAGTAAATAGCCCACGTGTAATCTCCCGGGAGCAAAAGCGAAGACAGGAGGAAAACAGAGCTAGCAAGACTGCAAACTACTAGATGGCTACTAGGAAAGTCCAGGACAACAGAAGCAGTCCCATGCCTTTTTAAAACTGTTGGGCGGAGCTCATGAGAAGATGGCAGTGTAAGTGTGAGTGGCCTGATGGCACCCTCTGAAGCTCCCATTTAAATAACTACAGAGTACACAAAGACCATTGTTCCACTGTCAGTGATTAAAGTGAGATAAACAGTTGTGTGGGTATCTTTCATTAAATGCAGGGTAACCATGAGTAGAATTAAAAACAGTATGTCTACCTTCCAAATCACGGCTGAAGATAATATCAAATAATCTATACACATGCATACAAATACAGAGGTCTGATAACATAAAACTCATAGAGCATTAAAACAAGGTAGTAGGAATAAAACCAAATACAGTAGTTCTGAAATGAACATAAACAGCCACTGAGCTTGGATCGTACATCACACACCATGAGTGTGTGCTCTATCGGGCACTCCTCCATCTATTTCAAAGGCAAATTTGGTGACAGGACAATGAAATGGAACTCTTCCAGCCCAGGTTCCAGCTGAAACCCTGAGCTAAGAGATACCACGTTCTGAAGTTAAGTGGAATACACGAAGCAGGACCTGGAAAAGCCTGGGTCTATGCCATTTGTTGACACTCATCTTTAGTACATATAGAATACGAGAGAGACTGAAAACAGGGGTTGTTGGGGCTGAGGAGGAATTTTAAGGAGTCCTTGGTGTCAACTGATTCCTAATCATTGAGATGAGTGAAGGGAGCTATTGCCTTCATTTCATGGTCACAGAGTGAAGCCTTGCAGAGTACCCCTAGGGGATCCTATTCCTGGCTCTGATGGCCATGGGCCTCAGGAGATGGGCATATGACTCATACCTGACAAGTCCAAAGAGCAGGCAGCAGCTGGCCGCCTTGATGGCACAGGGCGTGCTGCTGCTTCTGGATCAGCTCGTGTGCGAGGTCTGGAGGGCAAAGGAACTACTCACGGGAGTAGCTGCTGAGAACCAGTGTGGGTCCTAGCATGACAGCCAGATGTGACTGGCTAAGAGGGCTCCCTCATGGGAGGAGGTGACACCAGAAGAGGAGGGAAGTGCGGGTCTTCCAGGGCCCAAGAAAGGTACCAAAGGATGAGCATCAAGTAAAACAAGGCAACTCAGGAAGAGAGCACAGCAACGGTGCTCTCCAGGTGTGGTCTCCAGGACCCCACAGAAGCACCCCAGTGAGAGAGAAGGACAGAGAATGTGCAGTAGCTTATCAGACCACAGTCACTGAAGAACTGGCTTGCTGCTCCTCTCATCACCCTACACTGTGGACACTGAAAAGCACTGGTCATTTACAAGCTGGACCCTCTCTGCACAGGCCTGACAGCATGCATCAAGCAAAAAGAATTGGTGTAACTCTGCAGTTCCAAATACAGTTTCTTTAAATTCTAATGAATAAGAAAGTTAAATTACTTAATTACAGGAAGATGTTTTGGCATCTGAAAATGGCCAGGAAAGTCCCGGGATCTACCCTAAAATATCATCTAACTTTACGGACAGAAACAGCCCCATAGAATA